ATAAATAAATAAGAACAGAACAGATAAATAAGATGTGGTATTTTTACACAATGGACTATTCATCTATGAAACAGGTTAAGTTTGAGTCTTTTGTCAGTAAATGGATGTAACTAGAGACCATACTCTTAAGTGAAATAAATCAGACCTGCATGTGCAAACATCATATTATCTCCTAGTGTGAGAACCTGAAAGAGAAAAATGGAATCTGAAGGATACAATACATACTGGGAAAAGGGAATGAACTTATTCTAAAGGAAAGAGTTACTGAGTTGAGGACAAGAACCAGAGAGAGAATGGTAGGAAGCAATTTATACATGTAAGCAGGATGGTTTGGACAACTGTATCATGCATTTCTGCTGGTCTACGGAAAGAAGCAAATAATAATTTTTGTCTACTTTTTTCGGGGACTTGCGGGTTAGCTCAGTTGTTTAAAGTGCCTGCTTGGGCAATCTCAGTCAGGTGCAGGGGACCACAGGTTAATCCCCAGTTCCACAAGCTGCACCAACCAGACCCACCCTTAAGGCAGTCTGAGCTAGCAAAAACAAAACAAAACAAAACCTTTTTTTTTTTTTTTCCAACTGTTTGTACTTTTTCTCTTCTTAATTTCTTAAAATTTCTTTTTTTCTTCTTCCAATTTTACATGCATATATCTGGTAATATGAATAACTGGCTGGAAGACAACACTATTACAACAAATACTGTGAAATTCATATTACTTTGTTAAGTGAAATTCTGTATCACTTGTAATTTTTAAATTCTAATTTCTACACTCTTTAAAAAATAAACATAAAGAAAAAAATATATACTACTGATATTTGGTGTGACAGAAAATAAAGCCAACAAAAGAATAAAATTTAAAAAGCACACTGAGCCTAAAAACAACTATCAGGCAATACACAAAATACAGCCATGTTATCATGTAAAATATTAGGTACTAAAATTTAAAACCAGGATTTCATATGTACAAGATTACTATGGTCACATCCCCTGGCTTGAAATATGAGCAACAGACAACTATTCACTGCCTATTCACCAAGGAAGGACTGTTTAGTAGCACACACTATACTCAAGTGCACACATTGTTAAAAGTTAATTCTCTCGGGGCTGGTGAGATGGCTCAGTGGTCTAAAGCACCTACTTAGAAAAAGCTTAGCAAAGCACAAAGACCACGGTTCAATCCCCCAGCACCACATGCCAGCCAGCCCTGCCCCCTGGTGGGCTGAGCTGGCCACACACACACACACATAAATTAATTAATTAATTAATTAAATTTAAAAAAAAAGTTAATTCTCTCAACATTGTGGTCAGATATTATATACTAATATAATCAAATAACTAAGAACTCTCTAAAGCTGAAGCCGTCATATTATTTTTTTTTTTTTTACATTAGACATTTAGAGCACTGACAACTATCCTTAATGAAAAGAATTTGTAGCAGTTATCCTAAATTACTTACCCAAATCCATTTCACTCTTACCTGAGCCCTTTTTCTATAAGTACTGCGTGCTAACCGATTGCGCCACTGGAGCATCTCTTAGCCCCTTTTCTTATCAGACTTTGTATTACACATCTCTATCCCAGAAGAGAATGTCTGTACTGGGGCAGGCATAGAAGATAACACTTCCCCTTATACTAGTAATTGAAGAATAGGCATATCACACAATCCAGATTTAGGGCTAGTATGCTAGGTACTTCTCAACTGTCTGCATATAGAGACATATGAAAGAAACATTCCTTTTTTGTTCACTGGACATATTTATGTTTGCAAATCTCATACTTAATGAGTATTTGCAGCCATCCAGTGTTGGACACACTGGAATGCTAAAACACGTCAACAACGTGGATCCTTCATGATACCACAATACTCTTGAATTTAATAACCATTAAGTCAACCTAATTCAGGACTTCTACCTAGTAAGAACATAAACCCCCATTCCTTATGCAGTTTGAGAACTTGCCTTACTATGCCCTATAGCACAAGGAACCCTAACTGACATGAGCTAACAATAATCACAATTCATCTTTTCAGGCACTCTTTTAAAACCAGAATTAAAATCACATACCTCACAAGAATTAAGGTTGGGGAAGGGTTTTAAGACAATCTTGCTATGTGTTTCAGGCTGGTCCTGAACTCACTCACTATGTAGCCAAGGCTATATTCAAACTCATGGCATGCCCAACTCCGCCTTCCATTTGCTGGGATTATAGGCATCCACCACCACACCATGCATCAGAACTTCAGAAGATTTAAAAAACCTGACTGGTAATGTACCCATTTTCTCTGTAGAATACATACTCAAATCACAGTATCTATCAGAAAGAATACAAGAAGATTTCAAAGCACCGTAACATACCAAAGTGCTAAGCTTCAAACACTGATCCCTTTTTTTCTTTTTCTTTTTTTTTTTTTTTTGTGGCGAAACCAGGGATTGAACTCAGGCCCTTGTGCTTGCCAGGCAAGCGCTTATTCTACTGAGCCATCTCCCCGGCCCCCAAACACTGATCCATATACCATACAAGAGTAACTATTAGTAATGATTAATAAGAGCCACTTAAAAGTGTGAACACACAGTGTGCAGGGTATGAAGGGAAACTTTCTGATATAGTGATTCTATTACATTTTTAACTTGGTTAGTTTTTTTTAAAACTACTAAATTAAAACTCAACCAAGAACTCAGGTAATCCTTGAACATACACACATTTACAAAACAAAGGCCCAGACACTAAAGTTACTTTTATTGAAACTGCTAAGCTACCTAAAATAAAATTTTTCCAAGAATTAAAACAGGATTGGGCCAGCCAGAGAGCTCAGCAAACTAAAGCTCCTGCTTAGGCAGAGCGCAGTGGCCAGGGATCGATTCCCGTGGCGCTGACTCACTGACTGAGATTGGGCATGGTGGCAAGCACCTGTAATCCCAGCACTTAGGAGGCTGAAAACAGGAAAATCATTGCAGGTCCAATCTATGTAGTAAAACCCTACAGACCGACCCTGTACTAAAAAAAAAAAAAAAAGAATTAAAACGAGAAGGGGGGGAAGAAGGGAGGAGGAAAAGGAGGAAGGGGAGGGGGGAGAGGGAGGAGGAGAGAAGAATTTAAACATGAATGCAACTTAATTATAGCTTTTTTAACAGCACAACAACAGAAGTATGCTTTGTAGTTTAAGTGTTCTAATAGTTTAGTGTTTATATAAAGGAATGGTACCTTCAGAAAACTGAGGAAAAAATTCTTCCTACTAAATAATAAAAAAACTAAAATATTCCAGAATAGCACCAGAGAGATAACTCAGCGGTTTAAGCACCTCTGACAAGCTTAAATGACCTGGGTTCAATCCCCGGTGCCACATGCCATGCCCACTGGGGCTGGCCACCAAAACTGGGCATGGTGGTGCACACCTATAATCCCAGCACTGGGGAGGCTGACACAAGAGGATCACTGTGTCCAAGCTGCATAGCGAGACCCCATACCAAATAAATAAATTTTTTTAAAAACTAGTCCCAAATAATGACTCTACCTGTTGTCTCTTAGCTGCCATAATGTTCAGTTTATCCACTTCAGGTTTCAGGGCTTTATACTGTATTCCCAAGTCTTGTTCATTGCCAGCATTCCTTAG